AACAACAGGAAGTCGGCTTCCTTCTGGGAACTAAACACGGATGTCCAGAAAAGTTGAGCTCAAGACTCCTAATCCTTCACTGCGTATTTCTGAGGAAAAATGCTTTGTTTTCTAAAGACAAACTAGGACATTCATTTCCTGACATGCGTGATAAATCGCTGAGTTACCTCTTGGAGATGAGAGTGGACTCTGCATCGGGCTCATGGGAGAGAAACAAAAAGACTCTTCACAGTTCTGCTCTGGGTGTTTGGAAGCGGGTGGGGGCTGTCCGTTCTCCACAGTGTTCTCAGACCCAGAAGTAGGCATCACTCTACACTCGCTTTTAAACTCTTTTGAGGAAAAAATGAACCAGATTATGAAAAAAAAAAACATTGCAGGATAAAAGATGTTTCTCTAATAAAGGCCTATCGACCATCACTCACCCCTGACAGACACAGGAGTCTTTACTGAGCAGCTTTCACTCACACAGGTGTAGGAGCCGGCATCTTCTGGTGAGCGTTCCTTCACGACGAACCTCACCTCCATTCGATTAAGTGGATTCTCAAAATGTTCCCCTTCACCTGCTCACAGGAAAACCCAAAGTGAAGCGTTGAGGGATACATTATTTCTGAAGTGGGGGTTCTAGACTAGTCATGAGCTATCAGCATCTCGGTTGGCAAGCTATTCTGGGGAAGGTCCATTCAGGAACGCCAAATGAGTCAGACTTGGAGAATTCCCATCTGTTCAACCAACATGATGTGTTGTCTTCTAGTTTAGTACAAAAAAATTCATTCCAGCTGGTAAAACTGGGTGGTGACAAGACAACCGTGCCTTTCTTCTGTGGAGATGACATGATGATGATGATGATGGAGTGTGTTTCTATGAGACAGATTGTGTGGATTATAATCTGGGCAAAGGAAAGGAATGATTCCTAAAGGACTCATCTGACCAGTGGCATGATCTGTTTAGTAGCTACCATGAATGGTGAAGCTTCTCAGTAGAGACGGGCAGATCCTCCTTATGGAGGAGAATTCACTTTATGCTCTGATTCAATGAAACAACTTAACCAAATGAATCCTAATAAATATAAAGATGATTGCCTAAAGGTTAAACACAACCCCCTCAAATTATAATGAATGGTACGACCCACGGTGGTGTTAAAATGAAGGACAAAGGCGCAACACAGAGGCGTGAGCAAGGTGGTAAAAATCCAAACCGTTTTACTTTAAATGAGGATTTTAAAACACAAAGCTCTAAGTCTAAAAGTACTTGAAATAACAGTGTAAAAAGGGCATCCCCGTTTAAACGTGGTGTTATTCATTTAAAACAGATCTCTAAAGCTCATAAACACATCAAATGAGGTCCACTGACCTATTAAATGTTCCATTATTATTACCTTACAAACACATCCCCTATTGCCCCAAAGTAATCCAGATAATTCAAACACAACAATTGTTGATTGCTTTACTTCTTGGCCTGGATACTAGAGTCTTTTTTACCGGCTCGTGGAGGGGACCCTAAGTCACCACGACCTGGCCGCAATAAACATTGTTTCTTTTAAAGAAAAAGGGGGTTCGCGAGGCTCCTACAGGAGAGAGTCACCTCGCCCAGGCGAGAGACGCACTCCTTCTGGCCAAAATTCACCACATAGTGCTTGCAAGGACTATAGTCCTGCCCCAAGGCCGAGAACTGATTCTGGGAGCCGGTCTCCTGGAAAAATTCACGCCCTGGGAGCTGCACTTCTTGAACTGTTGAAAGATTTGACAGAACATGAGTCGGTTCTGTGCATCTCTGCGGTAGAACCTCCTCAACCTGCCTGTGGCTCGGTTGTAGAAGCAGGTCCTGCAGAGGTGGAGCCTGCCACAACGGTGCATTCACCGACACCTGAGGTCTCGGCGAGACCTGCTGTGGTCGCTTCCGTCAGCGCTAGTCCTCTAGCACCCACAGAACCTGCAACTGGACCTGGCCAACCTAGCTCACCGATCAGACTTCTATGAAGGGTTCTCTGCAGTATCATCCTTCATGGTCCCATGGATAAACCTCACATTCTGGTGACCCTGGAGGGGGCGCTGGGCTGTGAGGGTGTCCTCGATTCTAGTTCAGATTTCACCATCATGTCCAGCTCTCTCTGGGAGCAGGCCCTCATGGCTGCAGCTGCACGCCCTGCGCTGTGGACATCCATCCGTACTCTTCAGGCCAAATGCCCTTGTCTTTTTTTTGTCAAACGTGGTGTCCATCAACTTCACAGTGGGAGACATGTTCGTGAGCCATCCAACCTGCTCCAACGCTTTAAAGATGCCATTTCACTCCGTGATTGGACACTCCAAACTCGGGTGACTCAACCGATGCCCTTGAGCACTTTATCACCTTTTCAGGCGGTGTTAACCACAACGGCGCCGCCAGCTTGGTCGGTCAATCCAGTACCAGTAAGGTCAGTGACATCCAGAGAGTCTGCGTCGTCTCTGCATCACCACTCCACACTGTGGTGGGGAAACCACCTACCCTAGTGGGAGTTGGCGGTTAAGGTGACACACCACCTGAGACTCCGCACCCTGCGGTGGGGACACCACCTGCCAAAGGGGGGACTGGTGGTGGCGCTGATACTCCGGCTAAAGCCCAGTACCTTGCTGTGGCGACTCCACCTACCAAAGGACAGGCTGATGACGTCACTGACACTACTGCACTACAGCAGGCGCTGGTGACCTCTAGCCCTGAGGTTGGTGACTCATCTACCAAAGGCGAGGTTGAACGGTGCCCTGTACCACCACTGGTTGACCCCGATCTCTCTGACTGCACCTGCGCGTCGACCGAGGGCCCTCCGGAGCGCCCACCTGCGCCGAACCCTCGCAAGGCCGCACCAGTCTACAACCTACAACGTTCCTGGTTTCCATTTTCAGGTCTGATAAAATACGTTTTGTCAGTCACGTGTTTCGGTCTGCTATCAACCGCAGTTGAGATTCATCCTCAGCCTCCTCTAACGCGTCTGTACGAACCTGGGCCCTCTTCAGGTATCACACTCCAAGACCGCCCAGGTCTACAAATGACTATCGTCTATTTACACAAAAGATTTTCGTCAAATTCGATCCCGCTATGGCGTGTACTGATAAGATGACGAATGCCTTCGGCAACCTTTTGGAAACGGGGGCCCACTGGACTAGTACCCTGACACAGCATGCAGAAGCTGATATCAGTCACATGCTAATTCAGGCACTTAAATTCACAGTTTCAAACAGTGACCTTTCCGGTACAGCATTGGGCCAAAGCGTTTCCTGGATGGATTATTCTCAGTTGCTAATACAATTGGCAATCTTTTATATTTTGGATTCTCTTCAGTCAACTCGATTGAGATTAACACAGTTCGTTGACACGTTGATGAGCTTCAGAGAGAATATCCGGATCTGCATAAGCAGGTACTGCAGCAACGGCGAGCCCTGAGACAACTGGGCACGTCTGAACAACGGACTATGGTGGTACTCAACACTCAAAGCGGCATTTTGCGTAAAACAACTTCCACTGTGAATGAGTTGCGTTCCTTTGTGAATGTTGATTATGCTCATACACAGATGCTAACCACTTGCCTGTCCGACTATGGTTGGGACGTGAGCGCCTCGATCGATATCCTCCTCATGGGGAGGATCCCTCCATACCTTGTGTCCTAGGACATGGTCCGGTCTGCGATTGCTCGGGTGACCTCGAAGGACCCAATGGCTCTTCAGACTCACTTGGCTTTCTCCTTGGGCAGTGCTATCCTGTCAAGTGTCAGTCCAGATGCTAGAGAGCTAGCCTTCATCATCAACTTACCTATTGTGTCCCCAAACAACATCTATAGATTAAGAGATGTGGTGAATGTAGGTAATAGTGATGTGTCGGTCGCGAACGAACCGGCTCTAAGAGCCGGCTCTTTGAAGTGAACGACGGGAGCCGGCTCGTCATTGGGAGCCGTCCCCCCCCCCTCCCCCCTCCCCCCCCTGCCTATGTGAAAGCTACAGGAGATTGGTCAACATGTGTAACTGTGTGTCCAGACTGTCCACACACAGAGCAGTAGGGGCGGGGAAGAGGGAGGATCAGACTCAGACAGATACACAGCAGAGCACATGCCGGTGGAGGGAGACAAGAGGGAATGAGGAGGAGGAAAAAGGCGAGCGAGAGGGAGGAGAGTGCGACGAAGACGGTGAGAAAATGAGCGCCAGCAGTCGGAAAGTGGAGATTTGTTAAAGTGTTCAGTTATTAAATCCATAGAAATTATAAACATTTGATATATTTCTTTTTTTACATTAGTAAATTATTTTACATATAGTTTAGCATTATTTTGGTTATAAATGTACTCTACGCAACAGAAAATCTGAGGAGCCACTTGGGAGCCGAAAGAGCCGGCTCTTTTTGGTGAGCTGAGCCAAAAGAACCGGCTCTCTTAAAAGAGCCGGAATTCCCATCACTAGTAGGTAACTGGGTTGACGACACTCATGTCAGGTTACATACGCCTCCAGTCGTCGAGTACCATGAGGACACGCTGCACGTCCGGTTAGTCCCGGACCTGCGCGTGTTCTCTCTCACGTGGCCAACACTTCTTGTGTCCAGGTACACCTTTTCTGCGTGGCGGTGCCGGTGGTGTGTGTGGCATTGATGAGTTGTCAGGTGATTCTAAATGTCCTATGACTGTGACTCCACGTTTACATGTTGTTCAAACTACTGCTGTTGTTGTTGGTAATATATGGTTACTTAATACCCCTGCTAGAGAAGCTGATGTTTTCTATGAGCGTCATGGTGTGTCTACACGAGTTGTGCTTCCCTCTCAAACCCTAAGGGTAAAAGTTCCACGTGATGCTACGGTCCATGTAGGTGAGGTCTCTCTATATTATTTGGATCCTGGTGAGCATAAGTCTAAAGTGGAGTTTTCTCCTTTTTATGATAACATCTCCTTTGCTCTTTCTCCAGCTACGGTGGAACATGTTACATTCGATGGTCCAACCATGGTTCGGGTTGGTGTGGTGAACAGGGCGCTGCGTGAGTTGTCGGCAGATCCCGGTCTCAGGTTTCAACCAGTGTCCTACTCCTGGTCCTCTGCTGACTCTGTCGTGAAATTCACTGCATGCCTAAACCTCTGCCTGTCGTGGGGTTTGTCATTTTTCCTGTTCCGTCACTTCTCCGCACGGTTGACCTTTCTAGGGGACTCGGTCCGCGATGTTGGGGGGGGGGGCTAACTCGGGCCATCGCACCGGTTCGTGAAGCACCGGCTGCCCAGGTGCCTCTGCCTGAGCCGGCCGGTCCTGCTCCTCCACCTGCACCTCCTCCACCTGCACCTCCTGCGCCTTCAGCTAGAACGTCGAAGGTGGAGTGATTTCTAATGCCAGACTCGTCGGCTCCATAGTTCTCTATCTCGAGTTACACAAGTTTGTTTATGTTTGTGTGTGTGTGCATGGTTGTCTTTCCTGTTTATACATGACGTGCAGACTTGGGTGATTTGAGATGGTCATAGTGTGTGTTCCTGAAGTCAGGTAATCAGTTAGGTAACAGTAGATGGGTCTAGTCCACATATTACTGTTTATCAAATTTGTTTTTATTTTCACTAATCTTAATTCCT